TGAAAACAAATTCATGAGTTATTGATTATGTAAACTACATATCTGTAAATTTCCAAAGAATTGTCAATTTCAAAACATAATTAAAAATTAGCAAAGATGGCGGTGTCGAAAAAGTGCTGGCACACTCACTCATTTTAATTCTCTTTTTATTTTTTATTTTTTTTTTCATAGTGTTTATTTTTTGTATTTGACTTTTAATTCAAATTTGGTAAAGAATTTGGATGTAGTGCCCGGACAAATGTTGTTTAGTTTATATTTCTCTATAACATATTTGTTTTTCAGAATTTTTTAAAAACTTGTTTTTTTTGTTTTTTTGTTTTTTTTTTTGTCCGTCTTCGGCCCGAACGACCGAACGCATTCCGAAGGGGTCCCGTCGTTCGGGCATTCGGGTTCGGGCGTTCGGCCCGTCCCGAACGCCGGCAACCCTGGTTGTAGCACTATTGATTTCTTTAGATCCTTTCTCAGTTTCACCAAGTATTTCTCCACGTGTATTTTGACAACCTTACCCTTTGTTAATGTAATCCATATTAAATACAAGAAGGAAACTAGACGTCCATTTTTTCCACATGTTGTTTTCGTATTAAGCATGTCTTGCTGTACTTCATACCTTTCTTCGATCAGAGTCCGATATCGCAACACACCATGAAACATACCTAAACAACCAAATACATGACTGATAATAGTTAATTCGAGAAGAATGTGTGCTTCACTTTCGTATGACTATGAGATGAAGTGCAAAGTTTCTTTTAGTATCTTAAATTAAAATATTTTTAGTTAAATTACGAATGAGTAAAATAAATCATGAAAGTTAAAATTACAAAAGGTGATGTGACAAAATTAGATTTGAAGGAAAAAAAATGATAAGTAAAGTTGATTAGCAGTTAGGATTACAACTTTAAAAGTGATACCCTCATAAACAACAATAGAAAAAATAAAATAAAAAACAAAAGAAAAACATATTTCTATTTTTGGATTGAATGCGAATATGAAAGAGTCGGAGCAACTCTGTAAAAATACATAAGAAACATATTTATGTTCGAACTTGAGAAATATTTGTAGACTGTTTCTTTAATGTTTTGCAGTTTTTTTTGTTTTTAAACATCGATGCTATTATTATAAAATATGTTACATCTTGTTTTTTATATTAAACAATATGTTCCGCATATAAAACGTCATTTATTTTGAGTTAATAATTTTTATTATCTAACATACATAATTGAATTTATAAATTATTTTGATAAATTTATTATATATATTTTTTGTGTCATGCTCCCTTACACCTGATAGTAAAAAACTAATATAAAACAACGAAAATTAAAAGAAACTTCAAATACAATATAAAGTATTATCAACTATATTTTTCAATAAAAGTGCATGTATTATAGCTAGAATAAGAATGTTGTACTCAAATGTATTTTTGTAAATGACCCAATGTCCCTATGATTAAAACATGGTAAAAAAATTATCTTTTTTTTATCTTGCTTTATTACAAGTTTTTTTAAATATCGGTTTTAGCTCAATGATGATTGCACTTTTATTTTTAGCTTATTTAATGACATAGTTTCTCGTATTAAAATGTTACTACATACCACATGAAGATTTGAAACTTCACTATTACTGGTTTCTCGTATAATAAGACGTGAACTCTGACCCTAAGTCTGATTTTATCAAGTAAGTTAGTTGTTGTTCCATTTGTGACTATATAGTTTTTTATTTTATATACCCAAGAATCACACCATCGTTGATCTGTCTACACCCTCATATGCTAACCATGAACTAATGGTATTAAAAAACTCATGAATAATGAAGGCAAAGGGCAACCTACTTACCTTAACCACTGAAAATGGAGCGTTGAGGTTTTTGCTATAAAAACAAATGTAGCAGGTGAAACACTTGTAAGATGCACACAATCTCATCTACTAACCATGAACTTATAATATTAAAGAACTCATGGATAATGAAGGCAAAGGGCAACCCACTTACCTTAACCACTGAAGATGCAATGTGAGGGTTCTTGCTATAAAAACAAATGTGGCAGGTGAAACACTTGTATGATGAACTAATTAATTCGCTCCAACAATAAGTCTTCAAGTTAGCCTTATAGGGATTAGAAAGATTGAAAAAAAATAGGTTAGGCTTACAATACATAAGATTGATCGTCCATTGATTGATAATAATAACATAAGAAAGAAAACATAAATATAAGTGATAATAAAAAATAACTTACTCATAAAAGTTAGAGTACTGAAAAATAATGATTTCACAACGTCCCTTTTACATACTATTTGTACAACCTAGAAGTAGACCAAACATAATTGGTCTAAAACATAAAACAAAAGTATTATGAGTTAGTGAAAGACACAATATATTATATTATACAACACAATTATTCTAAATAATAAATTAATAAGAAGTTTGTCATAGTAAAATAATAGTGGAAACGCTTATAGGTGAGCCTCAACATCTTAAAGCATATACGACGGAGTCAAATTGTAACTTTGCATCCACCTAAATTTATAAGTATATAATGGTCAATCGTTTATGTGACAATATCAGGGGTTAAAAATAATAACGAGGTCAATTCAATAGAAACTATGCTTCAACTGTTCATAATGGATAATAAAAATTTCCTTCCATTGTTTTTTATCATACTGAAGAATCCACTTTAATTAGGAAAATAAATCGAATATTTTAAAAAAGATAACAAACGTAGATTTCCCTTACAATCTCATGCAACTTGTCTTGGGCTTTAACGTACTAAAAACAAAGACAATGCAAGAGACAAATTTATCCCAAACATTAAAGAAAGTCACACTTTGGGTTACTGAAAGAGAGAGATGCCAATAACTATAAGCAAAAGGTAAAAGTACAAGAAGCATGGTATATCATCCAACAAGAAGTAAAAATATAATTATGGGTCAAATGATTTTAGGTGCGGAAAAGGATAACGGAGGATGATAAAAGGAAAAATCAAGTTAGCAGATATCAAGAAACAACGTTTTGTTTTCACCATTCGGAAAGAGAGACCTCCATCGGGAATTGAAATGCCACATCATTCAACATATAAGTCGAGTTTTCGACTCAAATGACTAGCTCAAACAACAAGGTCCAAAGACAAGTCACAAAGATTGTCAAGGTAAAGAATCCAAAAAACGTAACCGAGGGAAAAAATAGAAGAAGAAACACATTTGCAACAACACTAAAAACGTACGGTAAAAAGAAAAGGAAAGATAAACAAAATATCAAATAGAATGCCCGTTGAGGTAAAAAACAAGTTCCAATAATTCCAACAAACAACTATATCAATTATAATAAAAACTTCTGGAACCAAGGTTCAGTAAAAAAACAATGGAGAAAATACCAATATTAATCGTAGAAGACTAACAATTAATGAAATAATCAATACTGAGTAAGCAACCTAACCAGTTAGTTAGGCACGAAGTGGCATTTAGGAGGTCATGGGTTCAATCGCCACTAACCACCTGCAGTACTCTTGGTGCTAACCAACAAAGATAAGTGGCCTTCTCCCCCCGTTCAATCTTGGTAGGGTCTTTGGACATCACGGGTATGCGTTTGTATGCATGTACGTTATTTGTGGTGTGTGGGAGAGTGCTGGTTATAGAGACAACTGTTATTCGATGGGGGCGGGGAACTATATGGGAGGCACAAGTACTGACCAAATGCTCGTTTTTGCGTTAGTTGGCCCCCCCCACAAGCGGCCCCGCTCTATTTCCTGACCACCACCGATTAGGGCGGGGGGCAACATGCATCCCCTTGATTGTGAGAGGTAGCTATGCTTGCAGGGGTCCCCTCTATAGCCTCAGGAGTAGTGGTAGGTAGGTAGTGAAAGGTGGAATTGAGAGAAGAAGAAAAATAAAATAAAAAAGGGAGACCGTAAAAGGCATGGGTATGGCAAAATGCCCCAATGGCAATAGTGCAACTTTGCAAAATACCCCAGTCGGCAATTGGACCTGTCATCTTATGCATATACCCCTATCGGGCCCTAGGAAACTTGTCTATATGCCCCAGTATTTTAGGCCTTTGGAGCCTGCAGATTGCGAAAGAAATGCATGGGCCCCGTGGAGCCCAGACCCAGGGCATATGGCGAAGTTCCCAATGAGCGTGACAAGGGCAGACTCAGTAAGTTTGGGGCATTTCAGCGTACCCCTGTCTTTTAGGGGTATCTCACGAAATATCCAACTTTTAGGGGTATTTCAACAGTTGTCCCGAAAAGAAGAGAATAGTCAGTACCAACAACGGGGTCCCATGATTCCCGCCTCTCAGCTTGCCCTTTCCCCGCTCTACACCTCCATGCGGCACCCTGATTTTGGGGTCTACAACGCACATACAGCTCTTCATGAACGGATCATTAGGTCTTCAATCTGCGTCCACATGGGCTATGTTTGTGCTAATCGTAGCACGAACCCATCCCACCAATTGTGACTAGATGCATGCTATCTGAAGCACAAACATAGCACAAGCGGTGCGGGGTTATCCGCGTGGAATCGCTGGAGATTGCGCGGAGATCTGGCAGTTTCTCTTTTTTTCTCTTTTTTTTGTTTTTTTTTGTTTGGCAGTATTTTCTTTCACATAGCGACAAGCGGGGAAGCTGGAGGAAGAGAGCCGACGACAAGGAGATGATAGCCGGGCCGGCAAGTTTTGGATTGGACTCCATTTGGGTCGTAATTGGGGTGAGGTACATCTATCAGAGTGAAGTCCTGCCGCGGGAGTGGGAGTCACTAACCTCTCCTTAGGAGGGGTAGGGCGGCCGATGGGGGCACTGGCGGGTGTCGGCGGCGTGGGTCGGGACCTGACGAAGCTGCATTGCCCCCGCTTTCCGGCACGAATCTCCCGCCCGTCTACCGCGGAAGCGCGCTGTCGGCTGTTCGCAGTGCTGTCCGCCGCTGTTCCCAGCGCCGTCCGCGGGCGAAGCGCGGGGTGCCAGGTTAGGCAATTCTCCCCGCGCGCGGGACGGCCGGCGGTAGTGCCGCGCGTTGCGTCCGCTCGCAAGGCGCGCGAGGGCGGCAATTGGTCCGCGTTGCCTCTCTTTACCGTCAGGCAAACAATTGTCGCCATAGCCGACCGTTCTTTTTCTTTCTTTTTCTTTGTCTACCAACCATAGCTGGACTTCGTTCTTTCTTTCTTTCTTTCTTTCTCATATTGTCGTTGTATCGGACATGTCATCGTCAGCTGAAGTGTCGCGGGGAAGCTTCGGCAGACCGTGTGGGCCGCCGCGCGCTAATTGGAAGGGAGTAAGGACGAAGGTGAGGGGTGGGAAGAAAATGGCGATGGCGATGGGCGGGATCGGGGGGGGGGGGGGAAGTCACACGACCGCCGCTAGGGCGGTGCTCGTGCCTCTGATTTTCTTGGTGATGTCACTGAGTTTGTGCCACGTGGACGCAGCAGGTCGGTTCACGTTTCCAGGAGGAGCAGGGGGAACAGGGATGGCCGTCGAGAATGCCGCATCGGCGACCCTTGAGCTGACGGAAGCCACGTTCAACTCCACCCTCCTCAATGCCGGCGCGCAGTATGCTCTCGTCGAGTTCTTTGCCAGCTGGTGCCCTGCTTGTCGAAGATTCAAGGCGAGTGGAATACCACTACTCCTCATTCCTCCTCCTCCTCCTCCTCCTCCTCCTCCTTCCTTTGCATATTAAGAAGCAAAGGAGGATGAAGAAGAAGAAGAAGAAGAAGAAGAAGAAGAGTAGTGATAAACAGAGGCCAAACACTGTCTTTCGCACATGCTTCTATATAGTAGCAATCAAAAAAGCATGCACTGAACTCAGAAGAAGCTGAAGAGGTAGAAGAAGAAGATGATGAAGAAGAAGAAGAAGAAGAAGAAGAAGAAGAAGAAGAAGAAGAAGAAGAAGAAGAAGAAGAATGGGGAAAGCGAGGGCAATCGCTAGGTATCAGAGCATGTGACCGTACTCTTCATTGAACAAGGTCGGACATAAAAGAGCTCAAACGACGACGACGACGATGATGATGAGGAGGAAGAAGAAGAAGAAGAAGAAGAAGAAGAAGAAGAAGAAGAAGAAAAAGTAGAAGAAGAAGAGGGGTAGCTTTTTTTGTTTATGGTACAGTGCGGGCAATGTTCATTTTATATTATGTTGTGACAGTGCGGATAATTTTCTATTATGTTATTTTTTTTCGCTGGTGAAAATCACACACTCGACCTCGAGGATGATGATGCTGAGAAAAGGGACAAGTGTCATCATACAAGATCAGATGAGATTGACTTATGATGATCGTGCTGATGAGGACGATGTTGATTGAGGATGACTGATGATGAGGATGATGATGGTGAGGATGAGGATGATGATGATGATGACGGTGATGATGATGATGAGGATGATGATGATGATGACGGTGATGTGACGGTGATGATGATGATGAGGATGATGATGGTGATGATGATGATGATGAGGATGAGGATGATTAAGGGTGATTGAGGGTAATGATGAGGATGGTGGAAGATGACGATTGAAGATGGTGATTGATGACGTGGCATGGAGAGAGCTGATCCGTATCTGCATCTAGACGGTAAGTTGCCCCAAATACAGCTTCTCTTCGGATGCTGACGTGGGTGTTGAAAAGATGGGAAGACGACGACAAGGACTACCGTCTTCAGTTGAATCGCCCGGTCATTATTGCTGTATTTGGGTCAATTTTCAGTCCAGATGCAGCTATTTTAACCAGGCGTTCTATTCGGGGTGAAGACGGTACGACTACGTTGATGACGTTGATGATGATGATGAGGAAGGGATACAGAGGATGATGAGGGCGGATGAGGATCTTTTTGTTCTTTTTTTTTTTTTTTTTTTTTAATAGAGGAGGAGGAGGATGTTGATGAAGTTGGTATTAATTGTATTGAAGAGGAGAGGAGGATGTTGTCGATATACCGACCATGTTCAATGTCACAACATCCTCCTTGTGGCAGTGAGTTTTTCGGTGAAGCAGGAGTGGAATTGGAAACGGGAGAGAGGTTAAC